AAAATTCCTCTTTCCGACATCCGATATAGGTTTCAGATATATTATAACGTAATTTGAAACAAGATATATACTTGGAAAATTTATTACGTAACACACACACGCACACAATATTCTAAGATTAATAAAATCTATAATGCCATAATAGATAAGAAACAAGCAAACTTTTCACATTAAAAAAAAATTAGATTACAGTATGGTGATAAGATTTTATACGTGAATCTCTTAAGAAACTCGATATATTCTCCATAAATATTGTCTAAATCTTAAGATATTATCCGGCAGTGGCGTCGCGAGACGCCAAATCTTTTGTGTAGTACAAAGGAATTTGAAGCTACCTCTTTGCAACATCGGCCAACTTCCCATATTGTGATTCGGATATCTGATTTATCAATCGTTTGAAGGAATCTCAATGTATATTAGGTTCTGAACGGATATACTATAAAGCCGATACGGACCGAGAATGGCGGAGCGAAAGTGGGACGTGTCTCTCTAACAAGAATATATTTGAAGTTATTCCACTCTGGTATCGACGAGCTCGATATGTATATTGCAATATTGTTCAAAAATAAAAGCTATCTTTTATTTGTGTAAAGAAAATTCAATTTATCCAGATAATGAACGAATACATTATTTAAATCCCGATACTTTTCGATCTCTTCTTGCAAATATTTTTAGATAGGGATACAAATATGTTAAAACAAGGTATGAATGTATTTATTGAAATCAATCTACAATGCAGATAAACTGTTAACAAGAACATTTCTTTTATTGCCATGATAAATTGAGTTTCATATTAATATAATTGGAATCTCTTTTATCGCGTTAAACGATCTAAATTTGCCGATGCAATTATCGGTCGTTTTAAAGATAACGCGGACGTATCAAAAACTAATTGCTTTTCAGATCAAATTTCATCGATTTCATTTAAATAGGCCTGTGCAGATATTTAGATAAAATCAGACTCGCGAAATTACATTTTTCAAAAGTAGCTTACTTAACGGTGTATTCTGCATAGTAAATACACGAAATGACACTCTACAAATGCTTTCGACTATGATTGCCCGTCAAGATCATTAAAACGATGCCAGACTGAGGCGAGAAGAACAATTTAACAACGGGTTTATGCAAACCCTCTTACACGTTCACCGCAGTTTATCTCGCTTTATTTAGAACATGTTGAGAGCATCTGTTCGTGGTTAGGACACACCAACGTCCTACAAAACTGCGTTCTACACTAAATGAAACGTGGCTTAACGATTCGACGCCGCTGCCACACGACGGTATCGATATAGTTCCATCTACGTTGGATATACGCGCGGTCTTTTATAAATCCATCCGGATCTACCTGCTTTCCTGTAAGCAGAACTCAACAAAGAGAGTTCCTTTCATCATCGTCTACCCGTATTGCTTCTATTGTACCTCCATGATCGCACCTTCCCACTGTGTATATATCCGTCCTTCTTTCTCTCGCCCTCGTATTCCCCCTCGCTATCCTTCACTCCATTACCTCATATCGCCCTTTTCGTCATCTCATTTTACCAGTGCTCTATCTCTCGCACTTTCCCTTTATCGTATATATAGGGGATTTGATAATTGGTAGAACAATCGAAAGAGAACAATTTAAGAAGAGGGCGAGAGAATTCTAAATGCCTCGGAGTCGACTTATCGTGTGCTACATTTGTATATTTTTATAAGAAAAGCAAACAAGAGTTTATTCGTTCCTCGTATACAGCTTTAATATTTAGGATTGCGCGAATTTTTCGGTTTTCCTTTCATCCGCGGATTCTTTGATCAACTTGGCGTTGAATCTAAATTTTTAATTTATGTCCGCGCACAGATGCAAAAAGTAATAATAATTCTAAAGCATTCTATATAATCCATAAAATAAATCAACATTGCATGATTAATCTCGCATTATTATAAATAAAGAATATTAATCCTTTTCATATATTTAAACACATTTCGTGTAACGAATATTTCCTGAAATGCTTTTCAGATAAATTAATAACGAATTATTTCATATAGTCCCTCTCAATAACAAATTTAATTTGATCACCCCCCGTTCCCTCTCGAAAATCGAGATGAGCGCGAGTGTTTTTGCATCCTCCCTCGTGGCGTTCACGAGCACGCTTCGCGATCAATCTTGTTTCGAGGCGGTGGAGTGGTCTCTTTATCGTGTCGGCACGAAGGAAAAATTGGAATCATGAGAAACGCGCCGCGCCGCGAAGCGGGTAAAATAAGACGAGGAAGATACGGCGATGCGATACGCGTCTCGAACCGACTGCCATTTATTTATTTCAGCCGCGCCACGCCGCGCCGCAGCGAGGAGAGTCGATCATTCTCAATTAACGCTCCCCCTCGTGACCGCCGCTAAATTATACCCGTCTCGTACCTTCTGTCTGCCTTCCGCGTGGGCGTCGCGTGTTTATTAATCTCCGCGCGTTGCGCTGCGCGTTAATTGCCCGTAAATGAGACAGAGAGTTGCGTTCGTTGGCGCTCGATGAGCTCAATGGCTACCGCGATTCGGCATAAATTCGTAATTAATGGGCTTATTTCCGCAACAACGCGTATCTTTCACATTTGTAAATCGAGGCAACCTTAAAATTAGATTTATTTTTATTTATATGCAAATGAAATGATAATAAAATAGTTATTTAAGTTAAATAATTATTATTGTATCTTTCATTTTTGATTTTAAAAAAAGTAGATCTATAAAAATAAAAAAAATGGTTTTTGTCAGCTTGTTAATATATTCACATTCTTATGTATTTCATGTTATTTTCTTTTTCCTTTTTTTTTTTTACTTTATTAGCACTATTTTTACGCGTACTAATTGATTTCTTTTAATTCAATAAACAGCTCGCAAGACAAATTTTTCAAACAATTGAATACATAAGTTACATCGACTCTCTCAGTGAGTTCTTCTACTTTCTATTCATGATACTTTACACCAATTTACAGAATGGACGGTAATTCATAATAACGGTAGTCGACTTATATTCTAGCATCTCTGAGCTTCGCTACCGTACCATAAGCGTAATGCAATGAGGATGCATTAAAGGCAGCGGCGCATATTCAAATCACGTCGCGGTCGATAAATATGTAGTGAGCTCGTACATTCTGACAATAAAATACTACACTCCGTGTAGTTGATTCGCTCTGCGAGGTAAAGGTGATAGAGCGAATAATAAGTACAAGTAATAAAAAAAAAATTATATTTTTAAACTTTTATCTCGAAATTTTTAAAAAACTATTTTAAAAGCCTGAAAAATAAATAAGTTTCGATTTACACATACATGGAAAATTGTTCCAATCTTTTGTATCGCTTTTCAACCGCGATCAAAAAAGATAATTGAATCAAACTACTCCGCATTTTTCTGCAGTTTCAAATTTTGTTGAATTCATCCGTACTTCTCTTGTCGAGACTAACACAGCAAAAGAGGGAACATGCGGTGTCGCGTTTGCACTAACGAGAACATTCATAAATTCAACCGGCTTTTTTTTATTTTTTACACAAATGGGATTCACGGATTTACGAGGCGAGCATCGGATATTTGATATTGATGTCGTTACACCGTTGACATTTTATCGCGCATGCACATGTCACGGTTTATTATCGATAAAGAAGGGCAGAGAAAAGGACCTATTTGTACAACGGCAATTATAATTTTTCATCCGACGTGTATTTCGATCGACGTGCAAACTGCATGTTCGACGACGCGATAAAATCGATGAAGACCTTCGACTCGCGCCGATATAAATCACAGAAACGACTCCAGATGTTGCTTGCACCTTATAATGGCTCTCGACTGCTTCTAATAACCTTGCTCCGGTATAACTGGAAATAAATTGTTCGGAAGCGATCGTTCTCCTTCGGGTATCGATGCCGCTCGTCAAACGCAACGGTCGCTATTGTGATTTAATTCCGAGAATGCGCACAAAAGATAACACAGAGAAGTACGTGAATCGATAATTTCTAATATTTTACGCAAAAAAAAAAAAAAAACATTTTAATGAGACTATATATCAGTTTATAACAAAAATCTCATCAGAGAGAACAAGAAAAATATATTAATCAAATAACGGTATAACAATGTCAATATATATTCCACATAAAAATATATATCCATGTGACAAATTTTAATTAAATGTAAAAACTTTGGAATACAAGAAGATTGCGTTCTCGACGGAAACGTTCTCGACCCAAACACTAAAAGTCGAGCTAAAATACAGGACATTCTCTCGAATATACAGGACATCTGGCAACGCTATCTCGTAGCGTCTTCTCTCGTCCTGCGCTCCCGACGAAGGTTTCCTATCTCTCTCTCTCTCTCTCTCTCTCTCTCTTTAGAAGCCATTAAAGATCTTACCGTGCAACGTAGTTGTGGAAGGATGAAAATTGCCGCGGCACGGAAAAGAGAGAAAGAAGCTCTCCGCCGTTAAGAGAACTTTCAACGTGTCGACTTCTTCCGTGAATCGCGCAACGAGGTTCTGTTAAACTGCTCCTTTGTCTAGTGAACTAATAGCGAAACCGCCGACGGGAAAAATGTCGAACGTAAACTTCTTCACGAAAATGCGCGCGCGGATTCTCTTAAAAATACTAATAAACTCTCTCGGTTAAGTAAAAATAGAGAATATCAATCAATGGAATCAAAATTCATTACAAGCCTTTCGTAAAAATCAATTATAGATCTGTTGAAAATTGTCAAGTTTTCCTAAAATTCAATTACGTTTTAATTACAAAAAACTAATTATGATATTTTCAATTAACCATTCATCAATTATAATTAAAAACTAACATAATATGTTTTAAAAATTAATCGGTAAAATAATGCCGTTTTATTATAAAGCGTAATAATGCTTTCGAAATCATATATATTGAAAGAATATTGAAAGGCAAGCAAGAAAAACAATCTATATAAACATCACGTAAACGATATCGAGAGAAATTAAATAGAAGTAATTCGAGATTGCAACTACAAACATTTACTTATCCTCACCTTGAAGTCGCGACTTAATTTTCTTGTCTTTGGTTGGGAAAATAACGGTGCATTATCCTTTGACATCCTGAATCTGATCTTTAAGTGAAGAAGCTTCATCCTCTCTTCTCCGGAAATTGTTTCATCTTCGCCAATGTCTCGACTGCGAACATAAAATTTGAAACTCATGTTTAGATAGTTAAGTGAACAAAAATCTTCATTAAAAATTTTCTTTTCTATCTTCTTTTCGATCGCTGACAATTAAAGTAAGAAAATTCAAATTTTATTCCTTCTCAATCTTTCCTCTTTAATTTGTTGCGACCTTTTACGTTAACCTTTAATATTACGAAAATTTTTTAATTTACCTTTAAATTAAACTTGCGCTTAAAATACAAAATTAATAGATATTTCGAGTTTAACTGTTAAAGTGGACAAAATTCTGGATTTTGAAGTTTCGATTGAGAACTCTATATATTAACAAGGTAGGGAAACAAGTTTGTAACTGCTCATGAGTTGTCCGCAACAAGCTGTTCGCAAACTTCGGCACGAATAAATTGAGAATACAGGTCGTGACCAGTTTACGCCTGACGAATCAAGTGTGCGCGAACTTCAGTTGTGGCCATATTTGGAATAAAGCCGCGATCAGACGATGAGAGAGTTTGCTCGCAAATATTCATATAAATTTGCTACCATCGCTTGCTATTTGTAAGTGTATGAATTTATTCTCGAAACGAGCGAGTCGTGTCGCTTGAATAATAATGTGCTTTTATCTCATTCAACCCGAGTCAAATAAATTTTAAGAATCGTTTCACATTGTAACGTTAACATCACATCAAAATATTTTTCTGACTTAAATGTTGATCTAACTATTTATAAACAGTCGGTAATGGAAGGAATTTATAGATAAATTTTACTTTGTAATTTTTTAACTTTATCAAATATATCAGAATAATATAACCAAATATATGAATTGTCATTCGATAATCATAATCTCATTAATTCGATTGCGAAAATACATAATAATGGTGTTTTGCATAACGCAAATAAATATTAAATTTGATGACATAATGTTGCGCATATATGAACGAATATTTCTATCGATGCATTCACGTCTTATAAGTTAGCGGAACAAAATGAGCAGAATCAATTTTAATTAATATTTTTATTTGTTGCTCATTTGTTGCTAAAAAGTTGCCAAAAAAAAAAAATTTGTTGCTCTGTAAGTTTTTAAAAAAAATGATGTTCCGCTAAAGGAAGATTAAGTTAGCGGAACAATATATATATAGCAACAAAATTGTACATAACAATAATATAAGAATTTGTTGCTAATTTGTTGCTCTCGAAATATGCAAGTTCCTAATTTGTTGCTTGCAAAATAAGTATTGTATAAATAATGCCGGAAAGCCGCACAGCGTGCAAACTTACAAGAGTAAACTATCAGAAAAAATTTTGTTGCTCGCTTAAATTTGGTACTGACGTATTGTCTGAATTTGTTGCTCTCGAAATATGCAAGTTCCTAATTTGTTGCTTGCAAAATAAGTATTGTATAAATAATGCCGGAAAGCCGCACAGCGTGCAAACTTACAAGAGTAAAGTATCAAAAAAAAATTTGTTGCTCGTTTAAATTTGGTACTGATATATTGTTTGAATTTGTTGCTCTCGAAATATGCAAGTTCCGAATTTGTTGCTTGCAAAATAAGATAATAATAAATAATGCCGGAAAGCCGCACAGCGTGCAAACTTACAAGAGTAAGCTATCAGAAAAAAATTTGTTGCTCGCTTAAATTTGGTGCTGACGTATTGATTGAATTTGTTGCTCTCGAAATATGCAAGTTCCTAATTTGTTGCTTGCAAAATAAGTATAAATAATGCCAGAAAGCCACATAGCGTGCAAACTTACAAGAGTAAACCACCAGAAAAAAATTAATTAGAATTGATTCTGCTCATTCTGTTCCGCTAACTTATAAGACGTGATGCATTCACGGAAGCTAACAATATCGTGAACGTCGAGCGGATTTTAATTATGACGACAGAATTACGAGCAAAATATAGTCGCCGTTTGCAAGATCGTAGCTTCTCGGAAATCAGCGGCTATTTGCTGCTAAATTACTTTCGTACGTGATACCTCAACATGTGTTCACGTTCGCACTCATACACGTATTCATTCGTTACACCGATATCGACCAAGTAGCGGAAATTGTACGACAGGTAAGGATACCGTTCCGAATGCAAAACATTAAACTGTCGGCAATGAAAACTCGTCGAAGAATACTTTTCCGTTTTACGACCTCGTGATTACGTTCGTACCGCGGCAAAATGTCTTTCGGATTCTTTTACTCTCACAAGTTAAATATTTTCCAGGCTTAACGAGATTTTTCCTGTGAATCGGAACTCCGATGTAAACCGTTTGCTCTCGTAGCCATCGAATATTTTGCGACATCGAGTCCCAATGAAAAGACAAACACGAAGATAAACGAGGTATGCTGTTTCAAAAATTGAACGGGCGAGATTTAGCGATGAG